TATTTATTTATTTATTTATTTTAATGCAAAGATTTACTAAAAACAAAATTCGTGGAGGCACGTTCACATTGGGGTATTTTTATTATTATTAATGCAGAAATAATAAAGGATTAAGTCTCGGTAGGGTGTTCTACTTTGCCTTGTTATATAAGAAAGATATGCAGTCGCATTAAATATTAATTATTATATTAATAATTTTCTGTGAGTATCGTCTGGGCCTACCATAGGAACCCCTATTGTTAATGCACATTAACCCAGGGGTGTCGGAATAAAACCGTCCTTTCATCCTTGTGTGTATGATAATTTGCTGCGTGTGTTGTTGGCATTAGGGCCTTCTGATCCAGAAAGCTTAGAAGTGTAAACATTGCCACGTGAAGCTTGCACTAAGATGTTCCGTCCAGATTAAGGTAGAATTTGGGAGCATTAGATTAATATCTGATGCTCAAATATAATTCGTTTCAGGCCCTGGCGTTTTGTGTTGGCGTCCAGGGCCTATCAGATGCAGTATCCGGGGACTACCATTTGTATGCATTAAGGCTGTAAAACCGAACTACTCCTCTGGTCTTCGTGTTGTTTGAAACTGTAGGTTTTGCTCAGAGACCACGTTCAAAGCTTGTCCAATGGGACTTTTAAGCTTTGGTTTGACGGACATGATGAAAACTCCTAAATCGCACGTCTTCCTCTGCTCAAACTCTGTGCTCTGTGTTTCATCTTCAAGACCACGACAAGTCCGCTGTGATTGAAGGCAGAGACATTCGTCTAAACGGAAAAGGGAAGAAAATTCGCAAGCCTCGGACCATCTACTCCAGTCTGCAGCTGCAGGCTCTGCACCAGCGCTTCCAGCAGACACAGTATCTGGCCTTACCGGAGCGCGCAGACCTTGCGGCAAAGCTGGGGCTCACACAAACTCAGGTAGGCCTTAAACGCATCACTTTGCGAGGCTCTCTATCGTTTATGCACTATATTAACTAATAACCGGATTATTTAGGAGGATGTAGTGAAAGCTAGAAATAGTCAATATATTATGGTTAAAATGACTCCCTTGCAAAGTTTCCACTCCTTGTATAGACTAATAATTTCTATACAACAATTTTGAATCAGTGTGACTTATGGTCGACTGAATAAAATATATGTATTAGTGAAAGAGGATAGTGTTGGATATTATTGAAAAGAAATACTTGCAGCATTATCGAGGATCACAGCAATTTCATACCCCTATCCCTTAATGCATTCCTTATTTACTTAATTTCTGGCTGTATCTCTTTTGTCATTTGCGGTCCTTGAAGTGTTTTTGTGATCAGTGGCTGCAGTAGGAACAAAATTACCAAAAGGAGGAAAAAAATATATGCAAAAGCAGTGGTTGGCAGATGTTTTGCAGTAGTTTATTATAGAGCATTAAACCAGCCCCTAACAATGAGATATGCTTGTATTTATTCGTTTTCACGTGCTTTTTTACGGTGTAGTTGTAAGTCTTTCACGTACCTATAGGCCACACAAGCACACATGCACACGCACTATAATAATTACACGCGTTTCCAAGACAAACAGGTGCACGTGTCAACTGACCCCCCTCGGATGGGACAAAAATGAGACCTTTGGATCACTTTTTTTGTTTCAGTTGAGTTCTAAAGTTAAACGATTAAGTCGTCAGAGTTTTAAAATAGAAGATAAACAATATTGTGAAATCCACCCTGTCATCTCAGCCGCCTCCTGCACTTTATTCTTAATCCCTGAACACTTCTCCCGACAATTATCTCCCAGTTGTTCTGCCATTCGTGTGGTTGTTGGTGCTGTTGTTGTTGCCTAGATATCCAGCGGGCTCTTTGGTGCTTTCTTTTTTTTAATGAATATTCACACCATTGTTCTCGGGTATAAAAATAGCCATCATGAACTGAACCCACAAAAATTTTCGCTGACCTATAACGGCGCGTTTGGAGCCGCTTTTATTTCACAATTCTCTCAGTCCCGGCTTGTCGCTGTCACACTCATGCATCACTAGACTTATAAAACAGCGAACAATAAAAGGGCTTAGCTTTAATGGGTAACAAGTGCCACTCATCTGCAAGGCTGAATAGCTAACTGTGCGCCAAGATTAGGCCTGCGACTTGCAAAAACAACCCCAAAAGATGAGTTATTATGAGTTTTACTTTCTTTATTACTCACAGTGTTCCCTTCGGGGTAGTTTATGATGAAAAGAGCACCGAGTTTAATGCGGGGGAAATATGCTCATAAAAAGAAAACGACAATGAGATTTCTTTTATATTGCTGCTGATTGTTAACTGCAGTGACAATTATGCCCATTTTCTCTTTTGTTCTCCCACTTTAGGTGAAAATATGGTTTCAAAATAAGCGCTCCAAGTACAAAAAGATCATGAAGCATGGCAGCGGATCAGAGGGAGAACATCTCCACGGCACCAGCTCCATCTCTCCCTGCTCGCCCGCATTGCCACAGCTATGGGAGGTCTCCATGGCGAACAAAGGAGGCCCGGTCCATCCGAGCAGTTACATGAACAGTTTCGGTCACTGGTATCCGAATCATCACCCTCATCATCAGGACGCGATGCACAGGCCTCAGATGATGTGAGTGGACAGTTTTTGGACACTTGAGTCCATCGGGCTGCACTGAACTTGCTGGTGCCTCCAGATGCCTCCTCTCAGAACTGAGAGTTAAGGAGACCTTGTTTATATTCACTGTATTTTGTGTGTGTTTTGAATTTTAGAATTCTCACTACAAGAAATATTCAGACATCAAAGAAAAAAGGGGGGGGGGGGGCGTTATATCACTGCAAGCTAGTGTTGCAGGGTCTGACATCAGTGAAACGTGGGTTTGTGTGTGCAGTTTAAAAGACATTCTGGATAAAAGAACTTTTTTCAAATATACTGTGTCCGTGCGTCTGCTTTATTAGCCAGCAGTTAACCAGCTGTCACTTTATTGTCACCAAATGTCTTTGCTTAGGCTTCTTTATCTTCCCGTCACTTTCAGGTAATTTCAAAAGAAAGATGGAATTGCCGGTTCCTTAAAGAAGCTTGGATTAGTAACAACCGGTGCTATGAGACACTGACAAACACAAGCTTAAACTCTTCAGAGCTTTCTGAGCACTGCACAGCTCAGCCTGTGCCAGAATAAAAGCTGTCTTTTGTCCATCAACACTCCTGAACTGCGATTCACAAAAACCTGCGACCCTGCTTGAATTTCGACAGCCATTGTCAAAACACCTGGGGATTGATTTCCGTTAGACAATAAGCAAATATCGGCCCTGGTATCTTTTTTCGGTTTCGTAGGCTGTTTTGGTTTTACCGTGCACGTTTGACTGGGCTCGATATAAATCGAAAGGAAGGCTGTTCCCTTACAGGAAAGCAGTTGTTTCCAGCTGAGACAAAAAAGAGAGGGTGGGATCCGAGTGGCCACCTTTACGCACCGTGGCTGAGTTTTAACGTAACATTTCTGCAGAGGATAAAAACTCTAAGACACGTGCTGTTCAAATGCTTTTATCTGAAAGCCAATATTACTGCTAAAAATACCTTTAATATTATTCAAAAAATAACATTTCACTGCATTTTTATTGCTTGTTTTGGGTGTTTGTTATAAAATGTGTCTAGTCTAAAAACACACAGTTGTGTGCGTTTAAAGACGTTCAAGGGATTATCCACCATCCATCTTTTTTCATCATCAAAGTGGAGAGCGCAGATGACGTGCAAGAAAGCATTTTTACAATATTTCCCTTATTTTCCAGTAAGATCAAAAAGCAAACTCGCCCTTATCATAACCAGATGATAAATGGCTGCTCTGCTCTGACAATAAACTTCGCCTGATTTATAGTCTTTCGAAATGATTTGCTAATTCTAGTGCTTAGACTGTTTAAACACAGAGAATTAGCTATTTATACCTTTGCAAACAATCGGGGCTGATGCTCTTGATTAAATGGAGAACTGATTTCTGCTTAATGAAGCTTAGAGAAACAGCCAGTGACTTCTTTTTGTCTTTTTCATTCATCACTCTGCTGCTTCAAACTGCCTGGCAAACATTAGTTATCTTTTTTTTCCTGATGTCACACTCAGGGTTTAAAAAAATAAAGTGAAGCCTTTTGGAAATATTTATCCTGAACTTGTATTGCTGAAAATTCTGCATATTTTAGTTGTGTGGTGTAAGGATTTTCATGCCTCATGCTGAAGTAGAGAAGTTCCCAGAAAATGCATTCATAATAATCCAGACAGCCACCTTTCATAATTCTAAACAAAAGCTAAGTGAACTTCTAGTGGAGCACCTGGTAAAAACAAGCTTTAGTTGCAAAACAGCCTCTTTAGATACAAAAACATGTAAAATAACACCCATTTCTAGCTGCATGTCCACACCAAGTCACCAGAACACTCAGTCGCACAGCGTGCAATCAGCCCTGCCTTACCTAGTCAGAGAAGTGGCGCCTTGTTCAGGAGCTCTAAAGCCTTCTGTGGTGCTCCTGTGAAGAACAAAGCCACACCATAGCCCCGTGTTTTCGCTCCTCCGAGCTGATTTTCTCACATAACGACAAGCATTGTGTTACATTAACATCTCCTTCTTTATATATATATACACCCTCGTGCCCTTTTCCTCATTCCTGATGATTATGTGCCTTGTTAAACATGCGGACCCAGGGAAGAAGAGGCGAGCATTGCTGAAGCAAGTGACGGGGCATCAGGGAAAATTATAGGCAATTTCACATCTCCAGATTAGAATAATGGGCTTGTGGAGTTGGACAGAGAAGAGTAGGACCTTTCAAATGGGGGGGCAATTATCATGCAGGCGGATTGAAGAGAAAGTGAAAAGACTCCTGGTGTAATAGACAGGCTAAAGAGGAGGGCGGGTGGAAGCTGGGGTGGTGGGTTGAAGGGTAATGATAAAGCCAAGTCTGACTGTATCAGTGATGTGGATGGTCTGGGTTATCAGATACGAACTGTCTGATGGGTTTTAATTGCAGGATAGCAATAAGAGGGAAAATAGCTTGTTATTAAATCCCACTTGCTTTGAATGGGTGAATGGCATAGCAGGTCTCTGGGGTGATTATTGTTATTAACTTGAGTGATCTGACATCTCGGGTAATTGTGAGCAGCTTCCCTGTTAGAGAGAGTGAATGCATGATTTGGTTTCGTCTGAAGGAAGGCCTGGCTTACTCTGTGGCATGATGCACACAGAGTCTGGAGGGATTACAAAGACAATGCAGGCAGAAAGGTATGTACACTGACTCACACTTAGATTCAGTGAATTCAATTCGAGCATGCCTGGGTTATCATAAATGAAAGTGTGGGAAAATATAGTTTCCTTATCTCCTTTTCAGCATTTGACAGTCTTTAAATCCTGAGTTTTCATTTATAGGCCAAGGTAAGATGCACAAAGGTCTCCTCGTGGCTTCATCGGGTTGTGACGACTGGCTGTGAAGCATCAACACACAGCCCGGCCCAGCCATGGCCTGAGGTCAGGCAGGGTTCACAAGTCCGCAGCTGTCAAGAATGCCTTTCTCCCATCATTTCATCCAGGTTTGCAGCAAAATGGAGAGCATGAGTGATCCTAATGCAGCCAAGGCCCAGCCCATGCAGGGACTCAGTGCAGGACAGCTGCTGAGAGTCTTTCCATGGATACATTTGAGTTGCCGACCTCCGCATCAACCCGTTTTGCTGCACCCTGGGGACAAGTGCTGACACCACACTGTTGATTGTTGCAGTGGGAAAAAGGAGAAGAAGGGTTACAGCGGCCTGAGCAACAGCTCTATTTAGGGTGCTGTGATGTCGTGCCATGCAGGATCACATTCAAGTTCAACAGTTCACCTCCACCTCCGTGGCTACTTACACTTGTTGATGTTTAGGCATGACATACATCGACATGTCCTACAGCCCACACACACAAGTGCACAAATGTTTCCCCTGACAGCTACGGCCGAGGCCCACACACGCTGAGGGAGCCGCTGAAGGGAGGTCACATGTGCTCTTGATGAGATTTCATTGATATTAAAAGGCAATAGTAATCATAGTGCTTTTGTCAAATCAGCACAGGGCACCGACATGATGACTGAAGCCATAGGCAACTGGTGTTGGGTTCAGAGAAATAAGCCAAGAGGACATTAGGGAAACAGAACTGGGAGCTGTGATACATTTCACTGTTTACAGCAGAATTATGAGAGAATGTGTGTGAAGTCTGGCAGAAACTTTGAGGATAAACGTAATCTCTAAACACACTACAAAGGGTGTGGAAAAACACTTGGTTTTTATTACAGCTTAATGACAATTACGTGGGAAATATATCCCAATATTTTAAAGTATAAACTCTTTTTCTACAGCCCAATACTTATTATTATAGCTGCCATTATATTTCTTAATATCCCTCAGATTTACATTATCTGAGTCAATATAGCTGTGTGTTTATTTATTCTTTTTTAATTAAAAATTAAATGTAAAATAATTAAACAATTTGAAAACATAGTTTATATCGAACAACAACAACGACAATAATAATATAATAATAATAATTATTATTATTATTGTTTTATCCCTACAAGTTTTTCTGATTACCGATTTATAATAATATTAATAATAATAATGATTATTATTATTTTAGTTTAAAGTTCTTTTCTTATTGTAAATTGCGTTAATTTACTATTTTCCAATATTGCACTTTGAGGTTTCCGTTTGGCTAATATAGCTAAATTATCCATGGTTTAATTTCCTAACATAAAACTATTTATTAATTAGAAACGAGAATTATTATTTTTAAAGCTGATATCAGTATTAAGCCTTATTCAAACATTTTTTTTTATTCCTGTCTCAGGTAAATTGAGAAATCAGCGAAATTATTTAGGGAAACCCGACATCATGTTGTAATGAAGTTTCATACATTAAGAGCTCCACTCATGGAGGCATATCATTCTTGTTACTAGAAGCAGTAGAAAAGGTTATAAACCTCTCACACCCCTAGCCCCTGCCCCACCCTACGTTTTCTCTCAGTGCGTAATGGCGCTTTGGTGGTCCATGTGGATAAGCTCGCCATTAGCGGCTCTCCATCATGTCAGTTTTGGGCTGCATATTTAATAACGCAGGGTTTATGTGGCCAAACCGAGGTTATTGTCCACTGTCGTTATTTATTAGCTGACGCAAGGGTCGAGGCTGGGGAAGGGGGTGGTGTGTAGCGGGGGAAGCTGTTTTTTTCTTCTTCTTCTTCTTCTTTTCCTGTGACAGCCTTATTGTAGCTGTCACAACAGTCGCTGTCGTGTTTATGAAGCGTCTCTCAGGTAATTCATATAGGTGTTTTCCCCCAGCTTTTGTGAACGCACACACAGCCGAGCCTGTTTTATGTTATCACCTGGGAAAGCCCTTTTGTGAGATAAAAATGTGTCTTTTATGTCACTGTGTGAATGACGGTAGCGAAGGCGAGGAGACCTAGTCTGCCAACGCAAAAGGAATGAATAAAACTTTAAACGGGTGCGCGCACTCCCCCACGCACACAAACGCGCTTGTGTTTTGTAGTACCTTCAATATTTGGCACTGTTTCCGTCCATTCTTATGCGCGTTCATACGCGCGTGGGAGATTCCCCTCGGAACAGTCTTGCTTCACCTAACCACCCCCCCCCCCTCCCCCACTAACACACATACACACTGAACTCTGTCTTGTTATCTGGCAGCAGAATCGTAATAAAACTGAGTGACTCCAATGTGTCTACACGTCAGCGCGCCACTAAATCCCAAGAAAGCCGCAGTGTACCTGCGCCTGTAACAGCAGACGCCTCTCGGCACGATGTTGGCACTGGCCAGTTTAGAAGTTGAAATAAAGTTACGTAAAATATATATAGTAAATATATTAAATATACATTTAAAGCATAGGCCACCGCCTGCATATTTGTTGTTCTTTACACATGTCCGTATAAGCTGTAATTATAATGTCTGCTTCCAGCGCAAATAAATCTTCCACAGTTCAATCCAGTTCAAACTGGTTTGAAAATGCGTCGCAGTTTAAGGTGACATAAACTGAAAACACTGAGACGTGTGCACGGTTTTCCAGTGCGTCTCTCGACAGGCTCTTTATGAAAGGGGCTTCACACACCACGTACAATTAACACCTTTATTCAATTGACAGGAAGGCAACAAGTGGACTAATTACATGAATATAAAAAAACAAAAAACAAAGAAGGTTTTTGAAAGCACCACAGTGCAGTCGTTCCGTTTGAACAAATATGATCATAGTGGTTCTGCATATAAACACGTATTTACAGCCTTCGACATTTTGTACAAATCCATATAAATATGACCTGAGTTGTTTTGAGCGCTCTCTACAAACCCACAAGATTTGATGTAGCATGGATCAACCGCACAGTTTTGTTTTTTTGTTTTTCTTTTTGCTATTATTCGGTTTGTGTATAGGCATCTTATTTATTTAAAAAAAAAAACTTGCATATTTACCATTTATTCATTTACAAAAGAAGGTAAGGAAAAAACTGAAGCGATAAATAATTTAAAAACACGCCAGATGTCCGTTAAATATGCTGCCACAAGTGATCAGAAATCCCTTATGTGCTTTTGTGAATGGAAACCCAGTTCTGAAACATTCTTGATCATCTAAAAAAAAACAAAAAAAAAAAACACAGCAATGTTTCATCTCAGGTTTGTCTCCCGGTCCAGTCATCGTTTTCTCTGCAGAGTCATTGTGGAGAGACCTCGTTTGAAATAAAACCGAAGACAGAAATCTGCTCTTGAGTCAGTGTTAATAAACAGCTCCCACGCTTTGCTGCGGGACTGGGTGGTGCACGGCTCCCGAGTGTTGTAGGTGTGATCCCTGCTGGTACCAGTGGTTATTATAATCCTCCAGGTACGGCGGCGATGAACTGTGCGTCGGCTGCGGCACCTGAGGTCTGCTGATCGGGGTGTTCTGAGGGGTGCTGTTGTTGTCCCAGACTGCGGGCGATGGCGGGGAGTTGCAGGCCATGGAGTCGCTGGCATTGGGGCTGTGCTCCAAGGGAACCTCGCCGTTTTTGTACAGCTTCTTGAACTTGGATCTCCGGTTCTGGAACCAGATCTTGACCTAAGAATCAGAGGATCAGCATTAACTGTTATGTTAAAATGTTTGTGATGATTCTAGTTTATTCAAAGAGTGTTTAACTTCAGGATAACAGCGCATTTAATTGTTAATCGTTTACCTAAATTAGGGATATCCAGTGCAGACACAAAAGCATATATGCTCTGCGTAATTACGCACCAGGGTGTTATTAAAGGTTACATTATTGGCCATACTGGGGAAACCCTGATTCACGTGACTTTAAAGCGCTGATCAGTTGGAAAATGTGAGGTGTTTACAGGTGGCTTACCTGCGTCTGAGTGAGGCCAAGCTGAGCCGCCAGCTCCGCTCTTTCAGGCAGGGCGAGGTATTGTGCCTTCTGGAAGCGTCTCTGCAGAGCAGCAAGCTGGTAGCTAGAGTAGATCGTCCTCGGCTTGCGAATCTTTTTCGGCTTTCCATTTACCATACGAACCTCCGGCTCTGGCTCTTCTTTCACTGCAAATAAATAAAT